ACAATCTAAGGCTACTTTCACATTCAAGAGTTTTTGAAGCATTTTTGTATTAAAAAAAAACGCCTGAGAAGCTCAAGAAAACTGTTTCCGTATGTACAGTATATGAATGTATGTCTATGTATGTTTTCACACTGAGGTGTTGCGCTTGAGGTGTGGTGTAAAAACTCCTGCTTGCAGAATCTTTAAAGCATGTTTGGGGAGTTAAAAAAAAGCCTCAAAAACGTCTCTTCCCATTGAAATGAATGGAAACTGCATCAAAAATGCTCCAAAAATGCTTAAAACCACTCCAAAAACACACTGCACATGTGGGAAGGTCTGGCTGTTTCAGCTGTCAGCGGGGTTCCCTACTGACAGCTGAATGTAAAAAAAAGAATTGCCAGCAATAAAAAAAAAAATAAAAATCATGGGGTTCCCCCCCCCCCCATCCATACCAAGCCCTTCGGGTCTGGTATGGATTTTGAGGGAACCACACAAAAAAAAAAAAAAAAAGGGTCCCCGCAAAATCCATACCAGACCCTTATCTGAGCATGCAGCCCAGCAGGTCAGGAAAGGGCTGGGGAAGAGGCCCTTGTCCCCATCAACATGGGGACAAGGTGCTTTGGGGGGGAAGCCCCCTCCGCCCCAAAGTACCCGTCCATGTTGAGGGCATGTGGCCTGGTATGGTTCGGGGGGGGGGGGCACTCGCTCATTACCCCCCTTTCCTGACCTGCCAGGCTGCATGCTCAGATAAGGGTCTTGTGGGGGACCCCACACCATTTTTTATTTTTTTAAAGACTTTTCTTTTTTTAAAATAACTCATGTGGTATTTTAGTAGTGTTTTTTTAGTAAATTCAAACGTGCAACTCTGCCCAATTTGAGCTACAAAAGTAAGTCACATGTCCAGGATGTTCCGCGTGAAAAACGCTAGTCATTTTTCAAGCGAACCTGTGTGAAAGCAGCCTTAGAGGGAGGGTCAATTGATACAAAAAGTAATAACGTTGGGGGATGGGCTGATGGAGAAAATACATGTACAGTTGCTATGTAGGGGTAGGATAGGCCTCTCTGAAGAGATGAGTTTTAATATGTCTGCTTGCTTGTACATCCTGTATGGCAAGCAGACATACTGACAGATGTGCACGGCATCAGTGATCCACTGATCGCTGGTGCAATGATTTCCAGGCTCCTGCAAACAAAAATAATAAATGCACATTTTTTCACCTGCAAACAAATGTGCATTTATTATTTTTGATAAAAAGGTGAACTTATCCTTTAAACGAAAATCACTTGTTCTGGTATCATATGAGAAAAGTTTTAGTGCTTGTCCCTTCACATGAAATGTTGTGGTCGGCACTCGAAAGCTGTGTACAAATGTTCAGATTATCGGACGATCGCTTCAAAAGCTGTATTTTTCATCTGATTTTCTCATTGTGTGTACTAGGCAAAAGATGGCACCTTCCTTGGCTGAAAAGTATGTGAAGGTTTAGTTCCGCTTTAACTCATTTACCAGAAAAATAACTAGGGCTGTATTTGATCTTGTCTGCTTTCGTGACGCATTCAAATGTCTAACAGAGCAGCAGGCCAGCACTTATGCCGGCCATAGATGGGTCGAAAATGTTTCGGCCGAAAAAAATGTTTCGGCACTGTTAGTGGGTTAATTGGTCGGCTGTTTTTTGGGTTCTTTGCACAGTTATTTTAACGGTCATGTTGGAAAATTCGCGACTGATTTGGATGATCGGCCGATTTTCCTGGCAATGATGGGCAAATTGGCCGATTGGTTTACCGATAAAAAATCTGCGCATGAGCCATGACCTGCCAGGTTACCAGAAGTCTGACAACGCCACCATCAAACCCGCCCCGCAGGCCAGAGTACTTGGTGTCATTCTGGACTCCAACCTATCCTTCCAGCCCCAAGTCCACTCTTTAACAAACTCGTGCAGACTCCACCTCCGCAACATCGCCAAAATCCGCACGTTCCTAACCCCAGAAACCACTAAACAGCTCATCCACTCCCTCATCATATCACGACTCGACTACTGCAACTCCCTCCTCACTGGCCTGCTTCGCCGCTGGCTATCCCCGCTTCAGTTGATCCTGAATACGGCTGCCAGACTCATTCACCTTTCCAACCGCTCCGTTTCCGCCACCCCCCTCTGCCAATCCCTCCACTGGCTTCCGATTGCGCAACGGATCAAAATCCTAACACTGACGTACAAAGCTGTCCACCATACTGCCCCAAACTAAATCACTGACCTAATATCCAAGTACCACCCAGCACACACACTCCGCTCCTCACAAGACCTCCTTCTCTCTAGTTCCCTGGTCTCCTCCTCCTCCCATGCCCGCCTCCAGGACTTCTCCAGGGTGTCACCCATCCTCTGGAACTCCCTGCCCCAACCCATCAGATTATCACCTACTCTCCTCTCCTTTAGGCGCACCCTGAAAACCCATCCCTTCAGGGAAGCCTACCCCACCCCCTGCTAACTTGCCGATCTCCTCCACTCTTCCTACCACTCCATCCCCCACAGCTATCTCCTCCTGTACCACTATCCCCTCCCTCCTAGATTGTAAGCTCGAAAGAGCAGGGCCCTCGATCCCCTCATGTTTTGCATTGTATTGGTATTGTTCGGTCACATGTTCTGTCCCCCTTTGTAATGTACAGTGCTGAGTGAACCATTGGCGCTTTATAAATACTGTATAATAATAATAATGTATTTTATATGAAAAAGTCCTGCGGCTACAACAAAGAAGTCCGCTATATTTTATATGAAAAAGTCTTGCGGTTGCAATAAATGTACCCATTTGTATCCAAATAAAAACATAATGTATTTGTATTGCTGTCACATTGTATGGTGTGATCCCATCTCTGTCAAACTGGTTTCTTGTCCCATTCTTTCATGAGCATTGGTGGCAGCATCGGCACCGACCGATTTTTCATTTATCGGCCGATAAATGGCCTGTCTATGGCCTGCATTAGGCTCCATATACACGGGACACTTCTGAATGATGGAAACTGACTGCTGGAAAATGTAAGTTAAAAAACATCTGTTTAGCCGCGTTTGCATACCGCGTTTATGATCGTTTGCGTTTAGAAGCATTTTTTAAAGATAACCTTCAGGAGACAAAATGCCCAGAATTCACTGAAAAAAAACAGTACAAAATTAACGATTTCACACATTTTGAGAGAAATAGAGAGCAGAAGCAGAGAGCAGTATTTGTTGAGAATTGCTTTTTTTGTGTGTTTGGATGTTTTCCAGCTCATTTCTGTGCAGAAATTATTGCAGCAGCGTCTAACATATTTTCTTCATGCGAACCTCAAAGTATGGTGTACCAGGTCCATTTGAGTAACAGGAAGATGCTTTGCATGCATTTTTCATGATGAAAAAAGGCTCTGGACAGCATCTGGAAATGGAAGAGTTAAAAAAATGTTTTCAAGCGCTTATAAATGTTGTTAGCTGATAAAATGTACCCTGAATGCCAGTTTTCTGCGTTCAAAAAAAACGATTGTAAACTCAACTGTCTGTAAATGACATAATGTACATGGACACATTGGAAAACATTAGGGTGAGCTCAGGGGCTGCTGAAAATAAAACGCAGAACAGCTCCTAAATGTGAGTTTATCAGCTGCAGTGTACATGAGCCTTTACAAAACGAACAGCCCTAGTGCTCCCTGTAGCTTATCTGTCATTTCCATGTGTTCTGCAGCCAGCACATTGCAGCTCCACCAGATACTAGTCTATACATCTCAGCTCCATCACAAACATGAACTACACCCATCACAGCAACTACAGCCGCTGCTGTACACACACCATATGATGCCCAGCACTTGGCAACACGTCACGTGACAGCTGCCTGCCCCACACGTCACGAACCCCCCTTCTTCTCCCGTCCCCTTTGCAGCTTTAGAAGGATGTCCCTCCCCTCCCTCATTTTGATTGGTTGCGCCGTTTTCGCTTTGCCTTGCGATTGGTAGCGGTGCTGCAGGCTGTTTCTTCTTCTTCCTGTGTTGCTCGTAGCGGCCACTTGATCCTTTCGGGTGAACTGGGTCCCTGAGCTCGTAGTCTGCGGATGTGACCCTTTTGGGGGTGGTTTCCCCCGTACAGGGCACCTGGACGGTCATAGCAGGTGAGTGATGGCATATGGGAGGGCGGTGTGTTGTAGAGGTGTCTCGATCGCCCCCATCATCCTTGTACTTGGAGTGTTTCCTCCCCTAGCTATGTGTGTGTCCCATTTATGTTTGGGAAGGTCGCCGGTGATCATCACCTATACCCACATGAGGACCCATATGTCCAGGCTGCTATTGCAGTGCATTGGACATAGTGCTTTCCTTGTGATCGGGCAGCAGGTGGGCAGTGGTCTTCCTCAACATGGCTGGAGCACTGACATTTCTCTGGCAGGCCATGTATTCACACTGGTAGGGTGGGCCCTCCACCTAGTGCAGGTGATCAGATGTCATCATGGAGGGGGGGGCCTAAGCTGACAGCCCATCTTTTATTCATGTGCCCCCTCCCCCATCTGTAATATGCATTTAATCATATGCCTCCCATCCATCCTTCTACAGTCAGGTGGGGGCTGTATTAAATGTGATGGATTTATGGGATCTCCTGTCTCTGTAGAAAAGCTTGACTTTCTATTGTAGAAACACCTGTCATTACCGTCTACTGGTTTGGGGCAGATTTTAATTATCTGCTTGTGATCTAAAATAATTGGTATTGTCAGGCAGATAATATTGTACATGCTCAATTTCTTTTCCTTCAACCAGCATGTTTAACAAAAATAAAAAAATGATTGGATTCCCCTATCCATAGTGCTGATGGGGAAGTTATTATTATTACAGGTACTTTGTATAGCGCTGTCAATCTATGCAGCGCGATATATATATATATATATATATATATATATATATATATATATACATACATTCACATCAGTCCCTAACCCTCAAGGAGCGTACAATCTAAGGTCACTAACTCACATTCATGCATACACATACTATGGACAATTTTTAGACTGGGATCCAATTAAAGTGTTACTAAACCCACAACAGTAAAATCAGTCTGTATATGCAGTAGAGCATGCTTGTTATACTCACTGTGGAACCTAAGGAGTTAATACTCTGCATTTTTTAGAAATGCTGTTTGAAACTGACTTCTCTGATCCTCCCCTTGTTCCAGTGTCTCCCTCTTATCTCCTGATAAGACATATCCTGGAGTCACTCTGGCATGCTCAGTTTGTGTAGCTCTAGATGTTTTTTTTACTTGGGAGAGTACATGTGATCAGCACAGGGCCAATCAGCAATGTCCAGACTGAGGTCAAGGGTTTTGCATCCTCCTAGAGCAGAAAGAAAACTCCTCCTACAAGCTTTAACATGTGCTCTGCTGGACGCATGATTATTATTATACAGTATTTATAAAGCGCCAATAGTTCGCTCAGCGCTGTACATTACAAAGGGGGACAGAACATGTGACCAAACAATACCAATACAATGCAAAACGAGGGGATCGAGGGCCCTGCTCTTTCGAGCTTACAATCTAGGAGGGAGGGGATGGTGGCACAGGAGGAGATAGCTGTGGGGGATGGCATGGTAGGAAGAGTGGAGGAGGTCGACAAGTTAGCAGGGGGTGGGGTAGGCTTCCCTGAAGAGATGGGTTTTCAGGGTGCGCCTAAAGGAGAGGAGAGTAGGTGATAATCTGATGGGTTGAGGCAGGGAGTTCCAGAGGATGGGTGACACCCTGGAGAAGTCCTGGAGGTGGGCATGGGAGGAGGAGACCAGGGAACTAGAGAGAAGGAGGTCTTGTGAGGAGCGCAGAGTGCGTGTTGGGCGGTACTTGGATATTCGGTCAGTGATGTAGTTCGGGGCAGTATGGTGGACAGCTTTGTACGTCAGTGTTAGGATTTTGAATTTGATCCGTTGCGCAATCGGAAGCCAGTGGAGGGATTGGCAGAGGTGGGTGGCGGAAACGGAGCGGTTGGAAAGGTGAATGAGTCTGGCAGCCATATTCAGGATCGACTGAAGCGGGGATAGCCAGCAGTGAGGAGGGAGTTGCAGTAATCGAGTCGTGATATGATGAGGGAGTGGTTAGTAGTTTCTGGAGTTAGGAACGTGTGTATTTTGGCGATGTTGCGGAGGTGGAGTCTGCACGAGTTAGTTAAAGATTGGACTTGGGGCTGGAAGGATAGGTTGGAGTCCAGAATGACACCAAGTACTCTGGCCTGTGGGGCGGGTTTGATGGTAGCGTTTTTCAATGTGATAGAGAAGTCAATGGGGGGTGGTGTCCGGGCTGGGGGGAAGACAAGAAACTCGGTTTTGGAGAGGTTCAGTTTAAGGAAGTGGAGAGACATCCCCAGTCTGATATGTCGCTCAGTAGGTGTGTGATTCGGGAGGAGACTGAAGGGGTGAGGCGGGGGGTTGAGAGACAGATTTGTGTGTCGTCGGCATAGAGGTGGTAGTTGAAGCCGTGAGAGTGTATGAGTTGGCCAAGGGAGGAGGTGTAGATGGAGAAGAGAAGGGGCCCGAGGACAGAGCCTTGAGGGACCCCAACAGAGAGGGAGAGTGAGAGGGAGGTGGTAGCATTATAGGTAACGCTGAAAGAGCGTTGTGACAGGTAGGATGAGAGCCAGGAGAGAGCAGAATCTCTGAGGCCGAGGGAGTGTAATTTTTTGAGGAGGAGGGGGTGGTCGACTGTGTCGAAGGCTGCAGAGAGGTCAAGGAGTAGGAGCACTGAATAGTGGCATGATAGAAGTCATAGGCTTTCTCTAAGCCCAGGTTCACACTGGATGCTACTTAGCATGCGATTTGCATTCCCTGCGACTTGCACATTGCATGCCAAGTTGTACCCTATTGTCCGCAATAAAAATTGGAGCGGTCATATCGGTGTGGTTCTGGCTTGGTCGGAGCCGCACCGATTTCAAAAGTAGTACATGCACTACTTTTGGTGCGATTTGCATAGACATTTGTATCAGACGTCTTGCAAATCACACCTGAAATTGGCATGTCGTGCGACTTCACTGTAAGTCACACGATTTCAAAGTCAGGCTTGATATGAACGGAGGGTTACTGCTGATGAGAAGAAGTTATATAGCAGTTTATATTTACTAAAATAAATGCATTTCCATATTGTGTGAGACCAGATATAGTGAATGCAGGGTCCTGGGTTTAGTAACACTTTAACCTACCAGCATGTCTTTGGAGTGTGGGAGGAAACCCACGCAGGCACAGGGAGAGCATTGTATCCTGACTGCACAGAGACTTCCCTGCCATCAGAATACACTGATCAATGCTGCCGGCTTTAGTTGGCAGCACTGATCGATTGGGAAAAACCCGAAAGTCCAGTTCTACAGAAATTGATCGGTAGAATGACTTCTGTACAACCAGCTGTGGATTGAAATGTGGCTGACCCGTCCATGTTTCGGTACATCTTTGGCCAACTTTATACATTGTAAATAAAAGGCCATCTCCAGCAGTTACAAAAAAATAAATAAATACTTGTGCAATTGGGTCCTGCCTGCATTGCAATGGTTAAAGTCGAAATTAAACAGCTTACCAGCAGGCGGGCTACTTATTACAGAAGCATCATGCAATAAGATAGACTTACCTGACACCTTGCAGTGCTCTGTAAAATGTACACTGAGCATGCACAGCTTTGTCAACATTTCCGTTGCGGTGCCTGTGTTCCAGGAAAACTGAACTCATGTGCTGTAGTTATGTCAACCCACGTGGGTAAATGAGGATGGCCAAAGATGGGCACCAGGGAGAAGATAGTGGTGCTGTATGCGCAGCTTAGTTCACATTTGCAGCATGGTGTGCGTGCGTGCGCGCGCGCAGGGATTCTCATCCCTCCCCAGCCAACCAAGATGGCTAAAGACAAGAACCTGGAGAAAGCTAGGGAGCTGATGGCAGCATTGAATTAGCAGCTTAGTTTACATTTCCAGCATGGTACCTGTGTGTTGGAATGGCTGAACTCTTTTGTGCATATGTAGGAGTTACGTGATCTCGCAGCCACCAGTCAAGATGACCAAGGACAGACACCAGGAAGTAGCTGATGAAAAGATGGCATGGTGTCTTTGTGCTGGGATGACTGCCAGTTGATGCAGCTGACTTTCAGTCTGTGTACAGCTGTTTGTTCAACAGAAGCCGGTCTTACGACTAACGTCTTTCACACGGTCATGCTGGAAAACCATTTTTTTTTTTCCAAGAGTTCCTCCATGTTAATAAGGTTGAGAAGGCCTATTTAACATGTTGCAACTCTTGCGTTCAAAAATCAAAGGGCTTTCTTCATGGTCTGACTGCTGTCATCAGATCGGTTGCATCCCTTGCTTTTATATTTTTCCAGACTTATTCCAGTCAGGAATAAGAAATGCAGATGGGCTTGGTATAGACAGTTTGGCTTACCTAACTGATGTTCAGCTACTGGATTCAGGAATCTCAAGTATCTCCTGAGATCGCCAAAGGGCCATGAATTATATTCAACATCTTATACTACAGGAGATGATGGACCACGTTACACAGGGCAATCAAAGAAAAGTTAGCTTGTAATAATATAAAGAAAACTTCCTGCTTTGAACTCTGCATCTATCAGAATTGCGTGATAAGAATGATTTTATTCATTTGGCCTGTTATTTTAGAAGCAGTAATTAAATTATCATATACAGGTGACACTCGAAAAATTAGAATATCTTGCAAAAGTTCATTTATTTCAGTAATGCAACTTAAAAGGTGAAACTAATATATGAGATAGACTCATTACATGCAAAGCAAGATAGTTCAAGCCGTGATTTGTCATAATTGTGATGATTATGGCTTGCAGCTCATGAAAACCCCAAATCCACAATCTCAGAAAATTAGAATATTGTGAAAAGGTGCAATATTCTAGGCTCAAAGTGTCCCACTCTAATCAGCTAATTAAGCCATAACACCTGCAAAGGGTTCCTGAGCCTTTAAATGGTCTCTCAGTCTGGTTCAGTAGGAATCACAATCATGGGAAAGACTGCTGACCTGACAGTTGTGCAGAAAACCATCACTGACACCCTCCATAAGGAGGGAAAGCCTCAAAAGGTAATTGCAAAAGAAGTTGGATGTTCCCAAAGTGCTGTATCAAAGCACATTAATAGAAAGTTATGTGGAAGGGAAAAGTGTGGGAAGAAAAAGGTGCACAAGCAGCAGGAATGACCGCAGCCTGGAGAGGATTGTCAGGAAAAGGGCATTCAAAAGTGTTGGGGACTTTCACAAGGAGTGGACTGAGGCTGGAGTCAGTGCATCAAGAGCCACCACACACAGATGGATCCTGGACATGGGCTTCAAATGTCGTATTCCTCTTGTCAAGCCGCTCCTGAACAACAAACAATGTCAGAAGCGTCTTACCTGGGCTAAAGAAAAACAGACCTGGTCTGTTGCTCAGTGGTCCAAAGTCCTCTTTTCTGATGAGAGATACTTTTGCATCTCATTTAGAAACGAAGGACCCAGAGTATGGAGGAAGAATGGAGAGGCACACACTGCAAGATGCTTGAAGTCCAGTGTGAAGTTTCCACAGTCTGTGTTGATTTGGGGAGCCATGTCATCTGCTGGTGTTGGTCCACTGTGCTTCATTAAGTCCAGGGTCAACGCAGCCGTGTACCAGGAGATTTTGGAGCACTTCATGCTTCCTTCCACAGCTTTATGGGGATGCTGACTTCATTTTCCATCAGGCACCTGCCCACACTGCCAAAAGCACCAAAACCTGGTTCAATCACCGTGGGATTACTGTGCTTGATTGGCCAGAAAACTGGCCTGACCTGAACCCCATAGAGAATCTATGGGGCATTGCCAAGAGAAAGATGAGAGACATGAGACCGAACAATGCAGAAGAGCTGAAGGCCACTACTGAAACATCCTGGTCTTCCATAACACCTCAGCAGTGCCACAGGCTGATAGCTTCCATGCCACGCCACATTGAGGCAGTAATTGCTGCAAAAGGGGCCCAAACCAAGTACTGAGTACATATGCATACTTCCACATTTCAGAGGTCTGATATTGTTCTATGTACAATCCTTGTTTTATTGATTGCATGTAATCAAATTTTCTGAGATTGTGGATTTGGGGTTTTCATGAGCTGCAAGCCATA